CACATACCCTCCCCAATGTCTATCACCCAGCCACCCCATCCCTCCCAACCCCCACCACTCCAAGTAAACTTTTATATTATATTTACTGTGTGTCAGACACAGTTTTAAGCACTACCAATGGTTTAATTTAAACCTCAGGATGATAGGAGAAGATACTGTAGTTCCTATTTTACTGTCGAGGAAGCTGAGGACCAGAGAGGTTAAGTGACTTGCTCAGGGTCACACAGCTTGCAAGGATGTGAACTCAGGCTTACTATCTGTGCCTTAACCACTAGGCTACACTTCCACAGTGACAACTGTCTTTCTTTCTTTTTTTTTTTTAAAGATTTTATTTATTTATTTATTTGAGAGAGAGCGAGAGCATGAGAGGGGGGAGGGTCAGAGGGAGAAGCAGACTCCCCGCTGAGCAGGGAGCCCGATGCGGGACTCCAGGATCATGACCTGAGCCGAAGGCAGTCGCTTAACCAACTGAGCCACCCAGGCGCCCCATGACAACTGTCTTTCTAAGGCGACTTGTGTCTCCATTTCTAAACACAGGGTCTAGGGTAGAGGTCGGCCCCAGCAACCTTGGCCCTTGGCTCTCTTCCCATGACTGAGACTTCCAGCTACTGTTGCCCAGTATGGCCATCTTCCAGATGTTCAGTGATGAGGATGTGCTCTATGAGGGGGAGTCTGCTGTGTACCCCATGTTCATCACGAGGCCACCTACTATGAGAGGGGCATTGCCTCCCTCCAGACTAAGAAGCTCACATTCTCTGTGCCTGCCCTTACCCCCACCCTAGGTCCCTAACCCACGCCAGGCCTGCCCAGGCTCAGCCCTCCCACCTGAACAGTGGGTCCTGAGCCACAATCCGGACCCCAGGACCCCTCTTTGCCACTTGCTGTATACCCTGTTCCTTGCCATGCCCCGTACTTCCGTGCCTCAGTTTCCCATCTATAAAATGGAAGATGTCCAGGGGTTAATGGCTTTTGTCCTCTGTCCTGCATGGTCTCTCTGTGATCTCAGGATCTGGGGCAGGTCTGGCCCAGCATGGTCTTGGACATGCTGTGTGTCCCGGAGACAGCAGTGGCTGTCTCTGTACCCACGCTTGTCTATCAGTGCCCAGGGGGAAGATCCCACTTGGAGAAAAACTGTCCTGGAGAAAACAGAGGGGTCCCCCCAACCTGCCTTCACTCCCAGGGCCCGGGAGTCAGTCTGAGAGAGCAGAAGCCTGTGTCCATGTGCACATGGGTGTGGGTGACCATGGGTGTGCCTGCCCAGGTGCTGCGTGTGTGTGTGAATGCACACACATGTGTTTCCAAGACCAAAGTACCTTGGGCCGTCCTTCTGGGGGGATCTATATGTGGCTGGGCACAGCCCTGATGTGCATTTCCAATGTGTAATGTGCCCAGTGACCATGGGGGCTCAGGGGGAGTCGGGCTGGGGAAGGGGGAGAGCTCAACAAGGCTTTCTGCACCCAGGACAGACCGCCCAGGTGCAGGGACAAGGGAAAAGGTGCCTTGGCTTGGGGTAGGGGAAGTCCTACCAGGGAGGCTGGATGGAACTCCTCAGTACCCCAGGAAGGAGCGGGCACAAGGTCTGCTGCTGGGGTCCCCTCAGTCCTGACCCAGGCACTCTGCAGGGGGTCCTTGCAGGCCAGACTGGACACAGCCTGACAGCTTCCACACCCACCTAAGCCTGACAAGGTGCCTGGGGGGCCCGGCGCTCCGTCCACGGGCGGCGTCACTCCCTGGCCCCTCTGCACCCTTGCCTGGCCCATCCATCTCCCCGCGGCCACAGCTGCCACGCGGCCTCCTGCTATTGAGCAGCAAGATGAGAAGGTGTGAAGGATATGGGGGCACCAGGGACGGGCTGGCAGGCAAGATGGATGAGGGGGCAGGGGGGCCAGCAGGCGCCTCGGGCAGGAAGGGCAGGCCAGCCGGGGAGGAGGCTGTGCAGAGAGGTGCACCTGTGTGCATAGTGTATGTGCAAGAGAGCTGTGTGTGCATGCACGCAGGAGCCTGTGCACGTGTGCACAGGGCATTGGGCCTTGAGTTCGTCTGTGTGCGTGTGGGTTGGCGTGTCAGTGTGCTCACACACGTGTGGAGGGGGTGTTTTCCATCACACAGACCAAAGTTGAGTGCAAGTACACACACACACACACACACACACACATCAGTAGCCAGCAGAACCCCGGGCCGGCCCACTCCTGGGAGTCTAGGCTGATGGGGAGCCACCAGGATTGGTGGGAATCTCCCAAGCCCCTCCATCATCTCTCCCCTCTCCCAACGGTCCCACTGTGGATCCCGGGACAGGGTGGCCTGTCCGGCCACACCCCACTGCGTGGCCCCTGAGAGCCGTTGGGACCTTCACAAGCACAGAGAAGCCCCCTATCTTGCCCCAGTGCAAACAGCAAAGGTGGGCATGGGTCTAGGCCAGGGATCCACCCGCCTCTCCCAGCTCAGCTGGCAGGAACCTGGGGTATAGGAGACCGAAGCAGGCGGCATCCCTAAGCTGAAGGGAAGAGAGGTCGGCCCCCTGGTATGGGGCTCTGGGAGGAGCCGGGATGTCCTACTTGGAGAGAAGCAGCCCCTCCAACCCTCGGTCCCTCCATGGCCACTCTCAGGTATGGGCCTCTGCCCACCCCACATCCCCAGTAGAGGAGGTGTGTTGGAGGAGGCGGGGTCTCACCTGCCTTGGGGACCCCAGCACAGCCTGAGGTGCTCTCACCTAGCACTGGCCTGGGGGCTCAAATACCCCCTTCCAGAACGGGCTAGCTTGGAGTCCAGCCCGATAACCCTCCCTGGGCTGTATGGCAGGGATGAAATGGCCAAACAGCACTGTCAAGTGATAGCAACCAATTTGGGGGTGCCCCACCCCCCTGTGCCTTCCTGACTGGCGATCTGTGTGTCCCTGAATGGCCGGCCTGGACAGGAGGGGCAGCCTGGACAAAGTGCCTGGTCAGGCTGGGGAGAGCAGACAGACCAGTGACCTCTGACCTGGGCCAGGCTCCCACCCTGTGGGGACTATGTAGGCCCTGTCAATCAGGATAGGATCAGCTTACTGCTGTCTATCCCAGATAGAAGAGATTATGCACTTATTACAATTGGGGAAACTGAGGCACGGGGCCCGTCAAGAAGCCACCAGCTTTGCACAGCTTGTGGGTCGGAGCCATCAGGGGCTCTGCCTCTGCCACTGCTTGTCGACGCTGCCCCCTTGTGTTTCCTGCCCCAGTTGCCCAGGCCATGCCGCACCAGCAGCCCCAGGTCAGGGGTCAGGGGTCAGGGTCCCCATGAGAGGGCAGCACCTCTGCCATCCAGCCCTCATGCTCCTGCAGCCTCCCCAGCCTCCCCAGCCTCCCCCAAGCCCTTTAGGCTCCGAACCCCTCCAGTCACCAGGCCAGGGCCCCTGCGGACCACCCAACAGGTCCTCAAGATGGGCCCCCACCCTGTGCCTGGGTCCATTGATCAGGAACGGCTGGGGGTCTCCGAGCTGGGGAAGGGAGGGAGCTGGGAGAGCGGACCGGGAGGGGGAGAGGAGGATTTGCAACGTCAGAGCCTCCCCACCTGCCCCCCTCCCACACAGCACCACGCCTGGAGCTGGACAAGCCCCGCCAGCCTCAGTCCAGTCTGAGCGCGGCTTGGAGAAGGGGCTCTGCCTCCCCCCAGAACCAGGGTCCCGCCTGCAGAGACCAGGTGCCCAGCTCCAGTGGAGAATCAAGACCTGAGCCATCACTCTGAGGGAAGGACAGTCCTGCAGAGCGGAGCCGCGCCGCTGAGCGGGGCTCCTCTAGGAGCCAACGTCCAGGCTGTCCCCATGGCAGGTACGGTGTAGGCAGCCAAGGTGGCCCCACGGCTGGGCTCAGGCTCTGGGGTGATGCGGAAGGGCAGGGATTGGTGTGGGGACCAAGGAAACCCCGCTGGACCCAGGTCCTGGGCCAGAGGGTGGGGCAGGGGCACCGCACGCTGAGGCCTCAGATCCCACCAGGGCAGGGCTGATGGGCTCACAGCCACCCAGGTACAAATATAGGGGGGCTGCCGGGCAGGGGTAATGAGTCATTCCTGGGAAGGGACAGCCTTTTCAGGCATGGGCGACCTTGGGCCTGTCCCCTCCCCTCTCTGGGCTTCACCCATTGAGTATCAAGTTTGTGGGGGTGGGGGAGGAGCTGGACAAGAAGCTTCTAACTTCCTCTCCTGACCTGCCTCCATGCTTGTGGGAAATTGTCAAATCCTGACCCCAAGGGATGCCTACTTTTAGAGGAACCAGGCAGAGAACAGGCCCCTCCCGAGTTCCTGAGAGCACTGAAGGGTGGCCTGTTGACCGAGGTGGGCAGAGGATGGGCTCGTCGAAGACTCGGGCGCCAGCGACCAGCCTGCAAAGGCCCCAGGCCCAGGGAAGCCCTGAGACTCTCCCTTAGGGACCAGCACCATGGATCCTGGAGCACTGGTTGCCTGGATGATGGGCCTGCCCCAGCAGGGCCTTTGAACAATGGACAGTTGCCCCCGTCTGACGGCCTGGTCCAGGTGCCGAGGGACCTCAGCCCCTGTAGCCTTCCTGCCCCTCTGGGGAATGGAGAGCTGATGTGGCCCCTCCTTCTCAGAGAGACCCACCCACTCCCAGACCCCAGAACTCCCAGGGGCTTTCGTGAGGGGCCACAGGCCAAGCCCCACGCTCAGATGAGGCACCTCCTGCGCACCGGCTCTGGCTAGGGTGCGGCTAGAAACTAATAGTCGGTGTTTCAGGACTTTTTTTTTCCTAGTTTTAATTTTAAAATTGTGGTAAAATGTACATAACATCAAAATTTCCATTTTAGCCATTTTTAAGTGTAGAGCTCAGGGGCATGAAGGACATCCACACTGTTGTGCACCCAGCACCACCATCCGTTAGAACTCTTGCCTCTTACAAAACTGAAACTCTGTCCCCATTAAATGCCCACTCCCCTCCCACTCCCTCTGCCCCTGGCAACCACCGTTCTCCTCCCTGCCTGTGAATCGGACGATGCATGGAATCACACAGGATTTGTCCTTTTGTGTCTGGCTTGTTTCACTTAGCGTAACGTCCTCAAGGTCCATCTATGTAATGGCACACTGCAGAATGTCCTTCCTTTTTAAGGGGGAATAATATTCCGTTGTCTGGATAGGCCATAGTTTGCTCATCCATTCATCCATCAATGGACATTTGCGGTGCTTTCACCTTTTAGCTACTGGGAACAGTGCTGCTGTGAACACTGATGTACACCTATCTGTTCAGGTCGCTGCCCCCAGTTCCTTTTGTGCAATTCTCCATTTCTAGGTAAATGCCTAGAAGTGGAATTGCTGGATCATATGTCTGGTCATTCTGTTCTCTATGGCCGCACCATCTCCCATCCCGCCAGCAATGCACACAGGGCTCCAACTTCTCCACATCCTCACCGATACCTGCAGCGTATTTTTTGCTTTGTTTTTGGTTTTTGTTTTGTTTTTGGTAATAGCCCTCCTTGTGGGTGTAAAGTAGTATCTCATTGTAGTTAGGATTTTTTTTTTTTAAGATTTTATTTATTTATTTGGCAGAGAGAGACACAGCGAGAGAGGCACCAGAAGCAGGGGGAGTGGGAGAGGGAGAAGCAGGCTTCCTGCGGAGCAGGGAGCCCAATGTGGGGCTCGATCCCAGGACCCTGGGGTCATGACCTGAGCCGAAGGCAGACACTTAATGACTGAGCCACCCAGGCGCCCCAGGATTTTTTTTTTTTTTTAAGAATAGAAGGTGGCAAACTTTTGGCCAAGGCTTGTGCCAGGACCCTATATCAAAAACAGGAAATTTAGGAAAAAGGGAGGCGGCCAGAGCAGAAGGATATTAGGATTGGCTGCTGGAGGCGGGTTTTGGGCAGGTTTTCGAGGTCAGACACGGGTGAGAGTCGGTGATTCCAGGGTCTCCTCTCGGCTCAGATCTCCTGGAGCAGCACCAGACAGCTGGGTCTCCGTGGAGCTAAGACGCTCCTCCCCAACCCCACAACTTCACATAGCCTCTCATGCATAACAGGTGTCCTTTTTGAAGGGTCTGCTGTGCTCCAGGCACTGTAATCCATGGACCCTCTGAGGCAGGTATTAAAGACCCCGTGTGACAGATATGGAAACGGAGGATCCAGGGGGTGAAACAATTTGCTCAAAGCCATGAGGCCACTTGATGGCTCAAAGATTCCCTGGGGAACCAGACAGGCCCTGTCTCTGGCCTCCTCGAGCTTTAAGTCAGCATTTACCTCATGAAGTGATGTTCAGTCAGGGAGACTCTGGGAACACAGGCCTGGCAATCAGAGAGGGCTTCCTGGAGGAAGAGGCACTTAAGAGCTGGCTTGGTGGCAAAGGGGTGAGGCAAACAGGGGTCCACACTTTCATCCTCTCTCCCCAGGCTTCCTCTCTGCTGGCCTTGGGGTACTTGCGTCCTCAGAGCCCTACGCCCTGCCCATGACCAGCTCCAGCTGGGAGCCCCGGCTGGACTCCCCATTCCCGTCAGGCCCTTCCACCGGCTCCACAGGAGCCCAAGTCATGGCCGAGCCCAGCAAGCAGGGCCCCAAGAACCCACGTGTGTCCAGTGTGACAGTTCAGCTGGAGATGAAGACTCTGTGGGAGGAATTCAACCAACTGGGCACAGAGATGATTGTCACCAAGGCGGGCAGGTGTGAGCAGCAGGCGTGTGTGTTATATGTGTGTGTGCGCGCGTGGCAGGGACAGGGGGCCATGCTGGAGCCGCATTTGGGCTGCTGAGCACCTCTCTCCTGCAGGAGGATGTTTCCCACCTTCCAGGTGAAGATCCTGGGCATGGACACACTGGCTGACTATGCCTTGCTCATGGACTTCGTGCCTCTGGATGACAAAAGATACAGGTCTGGCGGCTGGCCAGGGAAGCAGCTCAGAGAGCAGGGCCCGAGCCAGGAAGGAGACCCCTACCTGCACTCTGTGGGGAGCCAGGGGCCAGTCGGAGCAGCATCAGGGAGGCCTATCCTGGGGCAACAGTGGAAGCCTGAAGGCAGGGGGGACCCCAGCTCTGGGCAGCCAACAGTCTCAAGTGGGTAGCGGGCTAGCCTGGGCAGGCAGAGTGGGCTAGCCCAGTGCAGCCACAGGGAACTCAAGGCCGGAGAGCATTCTTGGGGTCTCCCGTTCCTCATGTGCAAGATGGGGATAGTGCATGGGCAGTAATGTTGAGGGATGGCCCCTTGGCCCCGCCGGCCCTGGCTCCAGGTGGGGGCAGCAGATGAGTGCCATGGGGTACAGATGGGGCACCCCTGCCACCTGCTCTGCCCCCCAGGTACGCCTTTCACAGCTCAGCCTGGCTGGTGGCAGGCAAAGCAGACCCAGTCACGCCTGGTCGTGTGCACTTCCACCCGGACTCGCCGGCCAAGGGCGCGCAGTGGATGCGCCAGATTGTGTCCTTTGACAAGCTCAAGCTGACCAACAACCTGCTGGATGACAATGGCCACGTGAGGCACCAGCCCCGGTGGGGAGGGGTTAAGCCAGGGCTGGGGACACTGGGGCCTGATCATAATGAAGCCTGGGACCAGGGCTAGCCATGTCGTTAATACGCAGGGGCCTTGGTGCCCAGCACCCCCACCTGCTACTGATGGCCAATGCTGGGGGCCAAGTTCACCTGGCCAGGGGTTGGACAGCAGAGGGGACTGTCCAAGCAGGTGGGTAAGTGGGCTGGAGGTGTGGGAATGTTCCAGCAAACACTGTCCTCCTTGTAGACAGTGTTTATGGAATGCCCACCACAGGCCAGGCCCATGGTGGGTGCAGGAACACAGCATTGTTTCCACTTTGTCAAACAGACAAAGATCCCTACCTCCATGGGGCTCACCTCCTGGGGTAGGGGGCAGATGGTAAGCAACGAATCCAGAAGGCCCCGTGTGTAGTGTCTCAGATGGTGATAAATACCAGGAGAAAAAGGAACTAGGGAGGGGGTGCTGAGACAGAGGTGAATTGTCCATTCAGGGGGGTTCTAGAAGCTGCTGAGGCAATATTTGAAGAGAGATCTAAAGGAAATGGGGAAGGCGGCCTGTGCACACATAAGTGGGAGCTGTTGCAGGGAACAGAACAGCAAGTGCAAAGGCCCTGAGGCTGCAGAATGTTGGGCCAGTCAGTGTGGGGAAGTGCAAGGAGGCTCCCACGTGGCTGAAGTGGGGTGAGTAGGCAAGATGGTTGGAGAGACCCTGAGGCTGCCAGGGCTGATCTGCAGAGCCCATAGGCTGTGGAGAGGGCTCTGGCTTTTACTCTGTGCGGTGGCCACAGGAGGCTTTTGAGCAGGGGGTGACAGGTGTCAGGGAGGCCTATCCTGGGGCCACTGTGGAAACCTGATGGCAGGGGGGAGCCCAGCTCCCCCTCACCGGGGTTGCTGTGTGCAGAATGGACAGAGAAGCTGGGTGGAGGCAGGGAGACCGGCCAGGAGGTGGCTGAGGAAATCCAGGGGGACATGATGGTGATTAGGAGGAGTGGTGGAGGTGGTGGGGTGGGAGAGGTGGTCAGCTGCTGGATATTTCTGAAGGTAAAGCTGACAGCGGGATGTGGATGTGAGAGAAGGCAGAGTGGCAAAAATACTCAGGGATAAAGGGGCCTTTGCCACAGAACCGTAGGCTCTCAAGGCCAGACTCGGCACCCCCATTATAAGAAAGGCAGTCTTCCCGCCCTGGAGAGGACTTAGCCTCGGGGAGGGTCTGCTGCTCCTCCCCTGCACACCGCCTTCTGCACCCCCTCCAGATCATTCTCAACTCCATGCACCGCTACCAGCCCCGGTTCCACGTGGTCTTCGTGGACCCACGCAAGGACAGTGAGCGCTACGCCCAGGAGAACTTCAAGTCCTTCATCTTCACGGAGACCCAGTTCACGGCCGTGACAGCCTATCAGAACCACCGGGTGGGTTGGGCCACAGCTCACGAGGCAGCTAGCTGCCAGCCCATTTCACAGGCACGGAGACTGAGGCCCAAGGCTCTGAGCTCCTACGTGCTCACGGAGCCCTGCCCTTCTCTCCTTCTCTAGGACTCAGCAGACCTCTGCCCTCGATCATTCCCCTGCCATCATGCCCAATGGCTCCCGGGCTGAGGTGCATAGGTCCCAGGGCTTCCTGATTGGGGTGTCCAGGGAAGATGGGGTGGCTGAATGTGGGGCCCCACAGCCTTTCCCTGGCTCAGGGCTGGCGCATAACCGTACTTTCTCCTCTGCAGATCACCCAGCTGAAAATCGCCAGCAACCCTTTTGCCAAGGGCTTTAGGGAGACTGACTCGGACTCCTGGTACTGTCTGGGCCCTGGCAGCTCCGCCCGGCTGCCCTAACCCAGCCCCTCACACCCCATCCCTGGGGCCTCACCTAAGGCCTTGGCTCCTGCCCTTCTCTGAGGGTCATGCCCACTGACTCGTCCTGGGGTCCCATTGCCTGACTGATCACGACCCTTGGCCTGGGCTCTCCCCCTGGCCTCCTGCCTCCATTCCTGCTTGTCGCATCTTCAGGACTGTATCTCCACGAGCCCTGCTCAGCATCCCGGCCTGGAGTCACAGCAGCCTCAGCTCCTGCCTGCTGAAGGGCCCCGCAGAGCAGGAAAAAGGTTAGCCCCCCGGAGGACCAGAGCCTGCATGGTGGGCAGGAAGTGAGCTGACAGGGCCACAGGGCCTCCAGCAAGGGGCTTCAGCATGTTCAGCAAGCCCACCGGGCACCTGTGTGGACAAAGAGGAGGAGGCAGAGATTTCTGAGACAATGTGGGACTAAGGGCAGAGAGAACAGCACAGGGACAAGGTGCTAAGAGCTGGGGTGGGCGGTTCAGGTGGGCTCGCTGGAGGAGGTGGCTCCTGAGCCGGGCCTTGAGGAACTGGGAAGGGTTTAGATAATGAGAGGGGGTGGGGAAGAGGGAAGGGAGAGGGAAGAACAAGAGCAAAGGCTGACAAGGGGAGGGATGGGATGGGAGCAGGGAAGGAACAAGGGAGGCTGAGGATGTAAGGGGAGGTCTGGGCTCCACTTACCATATCCTCCCTCAGACCCCAGCAAAGCTCTGGCCTCCAACTCCAGGACATCTGCCCGGATGCACCATCAGCTGCTGTCCCCCCCTGAGGCTCTGCTGGCCCCAGCCACCTACCAGCCCCTCAACTACCAGGGCCTATACCCTGGAGCCTCAAGTCCCCTCAGAATCCCAAGGGCCCGACCAACGCCATATCCCCTCCCCAATATTCAGGCTGACAGAGATCAGGAGGGCCTGCCCCTCCCAGCTAGGCTGGGGCTCCTGTCCCCCACTGCCTGTGCTTGGGACTTGTCCAGGACCCTCAGTGATGACGAGGGCCCTGTGGACAGACTCCTCTTGCCCTGAACACTACCCTCCTCCAGCCTTGCCTCTACAGAGGCCCTGTCCCCTTCCAAGGAGAGCAGGGCAGGTGGAAGCCTAGAGAGGGAGGCTACCTGTCCAGAATCACAGCAAGGCTGAGCAGGTGCCAGGCTTGGAAACAGCCATCTCCCCTCAACCTGTCCCCTTCTTCTGCCTTGAGGGGGGACTCCTCCACACCCTGCTTTACCTCTCCCTTTCTCCCAACATTAAACCATTTGGCATGAGTAGTCAGAGCACTTCTGTCCCCGGGGCTGGGGGTGGAGGGACTCAGGAACACCCAGACCCCAGATAATGGGCTGCAGACATCCCAAATCTCTGCCCAGTGCCAGTGGTATCCCTTGGGGTACAGTGATGGCAAAGGTGCTGACACCAGCCAAGAGGCAGGGCTTTGAGTGAGGCTGCAGTTTCTGTTCCCCGCCTTATGTGTCCAGATGAAGACTGAAACTGCAGCTCAAAGAGGCACCTGCTCAAAGTCAATGCAAAGCATGGTGACGCCTGCCATTCCACGTATAGGTGCCGTGCCCAAGATCGGGGTGGCCTGGTCCTGAGAAGCCGGGGTCTGGAGGGACGCAGAAACATGACAGGCAGTGACCACACGGGCCAGGCCAAGATGGGGGGCGGGGGGGAGGGACCTGAGAATCCAATCAAGACTTGAGGCAGGAGAGCTTCACAGAAAGGTGACATTTAAACCAACACCCAAAGGAGTAGAAATTGCGAGGGAAAGGGGCGGGGAGGAGGGGAGACAAGCTCCCAGCGGTGGGAAAAGCAGGGCAAAGGCCTGGGGCTGGAACGGGTCGCTTGGAGCCGGATGGCGCGGCGTGCACCACGCACAGGAACCCGGAGAGGAGCCCGGAGGGGAACCCGGCTGGGCACTCCTCCCGCAGCCCCTGACGTCCCCAGCCTCCGGGAGGGGCGCCCCGTGGATCCCCGAAACGCTGACTCCGAACATCCTGGAGCACTTCACGTTAGGTCGTTAGGAAAGGGACGGGCACACGTGGGCGTGGAAGGACGCGGGGCCCGGCAAAGCCTCGAAGCCCGACACCCCGACTCCCGAACCCCGCCGTCAGAAGGGCCGGGTCCAGGGCGCCTGGGTGGCTCAGTCGTTAAGCGTCTGCCTTCGGCTCAGGTCATGATCCCAGGGTCCTGGGATCGAGCCCCGCATCGGGCTCCCTGCTCGGCGGGAAGCCTGCTTCTCCCTCTCCCACTCCCCCTGCTTGTGTTCCTGCTCTCGCTCTCTCTGTCAAATAAATAAATAAAATCTTAAAAAAAAAAAAAAAAAAAAGAAGAAGAAGGGCCGGGTCCGGAAGCTGGACGCGCGCAAAGCGAGAAGCGCCACGGCCTCTGACGCACTCCCCCCACACCCCCAACGCCAGTTCCGCCCTCAGCCCAGGCCCGCCCCTCTGCCGGAACCCAAGTCATCGGGACTCGCCCCTTCCGGTCCCGCCCCACCAGCTGGAGGCGGGGCCTCTCCCTCAGGCCCCCGCCCCGTTCCGCTGAGGCCCCGCCTCTTGTATAGGTCCCCCCACCTCAAGGGGCATAGCCAGCGCGGCTTCGGAGCCGCACGGGGCGGGGCGACTGCTCCCGCGGCCCCGCCCAGCTTCCCAGGGGACGCGGAGTGCGAGTGCTGTCCTTCCCCTTCCCTCCGGAGGCCCGGCGCCCTCCGTGTCCCGGCTGCGCGGGGCCGGACATGCAGCCCGACTGCCTGTCAGCGGAGGGTGAGCGGCGCTGCCGGCGGCTGCTGGCTGGGGCCACGGCCCGGCTCCGCGCGCGCCCCGCGGCGGCCGCGGTACTGGTGCCGCTGTGCTCGGTTCGCGGGGTCCCGGCGCTGCTCTACACGCTGCGGTCCAGCCGCCTGGCCGGGAGCCACAAGGGTGACGTCAGGTACACCGGCAGGGAACTCCTGTCCCTGCTGGGAGGACCGGAGGGACCTGAGCAAGGCGCTTCGCCTCTCCGAGCCTGGGTTTCCGCCTCTGGGGAACGGGTCTGGGGAGAGCCGCGCCCCGCGTCCCTCCGCCCCGAGCCTGGTGCCGCGGGTGCTCCAGTCCGGTCGCCACGCCGGACCCCTCGAGTAGCGTCCCGCACCACCTCGGGCTGGGGACACCTCTCGGAGCTGTGCCCGCCTCTCTAAAAAGGCAAGACCCTGCCCCCTGCCGGCGACTCAGGGGAGATTCGGATCCTGGAGCCGAAGCAGCTCGCGGGGCGGGGCTGCCTGGCTTCCCGCCCTGGTCCCGCCCCCATCCTCCGGGGGAAACTAGGGACGCATTAGGGTCATAGCGCCACTGGGGCCACCATAGGCAAAACTTGCGTGTGTGAACTCCAGGGCCTCACTCTTACCCCTGTCGTTCAGGGGGGTAAACTGAGCCTGGAGAGGTCATGTGGCTTGCCCGAGGCCTCACTACACGCTAGAGACAGAGACAGAAGATGCTTAGGTGGGTGACTAGCCCTCTGCCACAGCTGTCACCCCCACCCACCAAGGCCCCAACAGACCAAGGACCAGGCTTCCTGTGCTTATCAGTTTCCCAGGAGGCAAATGTGACCCCACTGACCAGGATGTGGTGCACACAGCCCTAAGGGAGACCCACGAGGAGCTGGGCCTTACTGTGCCCGAGGAGCATGTGTGGGGTGTCCTGCGGCCTGTACATGACAGGGTAAGGCTGCCAGACCCTGAGGCCACCATCAGGGACCAGGAGGATGGTAACGGCCTCTGGCAGGCAGACAGCATGGTGGAGCACCAGACACCTGCCTGGTGGTCCTGTTCCATTCCCACACAACCCATCAGGGAGAGGCCAGGGGTATCTTAGCTCCTTTTCACGGGGGAATCCTGAGGCTCAGTTCTGGGGCTGGAGGTGGCCCCAGGGTAAGCCAGCTCTGCCCAGCTTGGTGGAGGAGGGTTGGGGAAAGCTTCACAGGGTAGGCAGGGATTGGATGATGAGTGGGAGATTTTAGGGGAGTAAAAGTAAGGGAAGGTTATTCTAAGTGGAGGGAGCAGTCTGCAAAGGCCAAGAGGGCTGGATGGCTCTAGCGAGTTTGAGGGCCCTGAGTTAGTCAGCGTGGCTGGAGAGGGCTCAAGGGCAGGGGCCTCCAATGCTGACAGGCTCTGGATGGCAAGGTGGGGTCTCCCTCTAGGCTCCCCTCCCCAAGGCCAGGCCTCCCCTGACTGCCTGTCACCCTCCTGCCCCAGCAAAAGGCCAGCGTGGTGCCAGTGCTTGCTGGCGTGGGCCCACTGGATCCCCAGAGTCTCAGGCCCAACCCTGAAGAGGTGAGTGGGGAGGAGGGTGGGGGGTCAGCCAACTGGGGGAGGCTCTGTCCACAGCAGTCTTCCATCCGCCCTCTCACTGCCTCCTTCCACAGGTGGACGAGGTATTTGCACTCCCCCTGGCCCACCTGCTGCAGGCGCAGAACCAAGGGTATACCCACTTCTGCCGGCATGGCCACTTCAGCTACACGCTGCCTGTCTTCCTGCATGGGCCCCACCGTGTCTGGGGGCTCACGGCCATCATCACTGAGTTCACCCTGCAGCTGCTGGCACCTGGCGCCTACCAACCCCGCCTGGCCAGCTCAGAGCGGCCCACAGTCTGAAGGCCTGGCCACAGGCAGCCCCTTCCTTCACCCTGCCGGGCCAGCTCCATTCACGGACTGAATAAAGAGCTTTTACCAATCCTGTGGCAGCTGTTATCTTCTGCACTGGGGCCTTGACTTTGGGCAGACCCCATGGGACAACTGGCCTCCTGGCTGGGGTGCCTCTGTCCCATCATGCTGTTACACACTGACCAGTGGGCACTTATTAAGTACAGGTACTTGGCTCTCACCACAGACCTGAGGTGGGGCCAATGCTGGCCCTGGCCGGTGAGACCAGGGCTCAGAGAGAAGAGACACCTTGCCCAAGGTCACCCCAAGCTAGAACTTTTGCCAAGCCCTCTCTGACTCTAGAGGCCACACTCAGCCACTACTTAGCCAGTTCCTGCTCCCACCTCTGTGTCTAGCTGACCCCGTGCCAGGCTGCAGGAATCCAAAGAGGAGCCCCACTTGTTACTGCAAAGTTCCAACATGCCCAGCTCCTACCATGCACCAGGTACTGTGCTGGGGCCTTATCTTCAGATGCTGCCCTGGCCTCTGGGCGTGACAGTCTGGGGAAGACCTCAGAGCAGGTCCCACATGATCATGTGATTGTATATTAATTAATCACAGATAATAGTGGAACTATACATCAATTATGTGGACCAGAGAGAGATGGTAAGCAGTCTGACCTTGTCATGGTGGACTGGGCAATATTAGCCAGGACAGGTGATAGGAAACTCCACCCACTAGACGACTTTGCCAAAAGAGGATAAACACGAGATACACTACCTTCAGGCATGGCTGGATCCAGGGGCTCAGGGGCTTTCTCTTACTGTGCTTTCCACCGTGTCGGCCTCACTCTTGGAGAATCTCTACTCTGCAGGGGTGAGAGGTAAGGAGAGGGCAACAGCTGTAGGGTGGCACAGCACCAGTATCCCATCAACAGAAAACAGTTTCTCTCTCTGGCCGTTTAACCCAGAGTTGTACTTCGTTGGCCCTCCCTGAGCCTGTCACATGGCCTGCTCTAGTTGGAATTAATTGTTTGGCAGGGTCTGTGGGCAGAGAACTGGGGAGGAGGATGAACCTTCTAGACTGAGACTAGGGAAGGGGCAGTCCCCAAAGGACCAATGGGAAGAGAGAAGGGAAGGTTGAGTAGGTAAAAAACCAGCCAAGTTCCCCTGCAGAATGACCTTGAAACCAACGGGGGGGCAAGAGTAGGCCAGATCAAAGGGCAAAGGAGGGAAGTTGGAACAGAAGGAGCAGTGTATGCACAAAGTTTGGGGTGTTCGAGGAAACAAGATTAGCAATGTGGGGGTAGGGAGGGGCTCCACCACTCAGGGGCCACCATGGGGTGTCAAGGGGACATGCTTCAGTGGTGGGTTAGGAACTTTTTCCAGGCTGGGAGAGGGGCAGACGGGTGTTGAAGT